CATCGTGAAATCGAGTACCATGACGCGGGATGTTATAAGCAAGAAAACTGCCATCCGGTAATTACATAAGGAGCACATCGAGCCGACGCGTAAAATAAATTACGCGTCCAATTACCACAGGCTTCGAGCCAAAGCGGAATAAGTATAGTCCGCGATGCTTCCGAATGACGATGCTGCATCCTATGGACCAAATCGATCTGGTTGCTCGTCCGACGACGCGACGCGACCACCGACCACAAAACGGACAGGACTTTCTCGGTCTGCGCGAGGATCCAGGAACCGGCACGACGGTCGACGGCGCGACAGGCGTTATACCTCGTAATGAACATATTCAATTATGGTTTTCATTAAATTCCCGCAAAAAAGCACGCGACCGACGCGAGCGAATTTCAGCGTCTCTCACTGTGCAACGTCACATTCTTCCTCCTTCCTTTTTTTTTACTCTTTTCTTTTCTTCTTAATTCCTGCGACCGTTTTATACAATCTCTGGACTCTGTGGTCTTCGTGCAAATCGTGGCGCGAATAGAAAAGCATATGTTGGGATTACAATTTTAATCCATTCATTGGGATCACACACACACACACACACACACACACACACACACACACACACACACACACGTGCGCGCGCGCACACACACACAATCCCGTGTCTCATAAGGTCTTAATAATACGGATTAAGAAATAATAATACGATTAAGAAAAATATGACTTTCGGTAGAAAGCTTTTTGTGGAGAAGAGTTGATCTCAAGCTATCAGAAACTTTCGCGTTTAAATCGTTGCGATGAACTTTGGTGAAATCTGTATGTTTCAATAATAGTAAATTTCGAAAAGCTGGAAAGAATGATATTATAAATATTATCTTTGTGCGATACATAAGTTATTGTGGTAGGCTTATAATATTGTTCTGCGGGTATTATGTTACTTAATTGCAAAATTAATTAAAAGATGGTTTTAATTATGGCGCTATAAACTGTTAAATTATTCGGATGCAATAATAGTTATGTCCCCGCTAATTATGGATTAACATTTGTACGCATACTAATAATGCGATACGGAACGATATAACAATTGATAATAAATAGCAATCAGGCGAAACACACGTATCTCGAACAGATGATATTGTCGCGCCCTGGGGAGTCTGCGTGTCCGTATTCATAAATAGTTAAATACGTTAAACACGTTGCTTTAGCTTTAAACAGCTCTTTCGCGACACGCGAAAACATAAAAAATAGATGAGCTGCATTATTAAATCTAAAACTTTCATGGATATGGATAATTAAAAATTATTATTCTCTAAAAAAATGACGTTCCAAACTGAATGAAAAGTTTATGCACGCAACACATAGGAATTTCTCTATTTCACTTATTTTCTAATTTATAAAAATATGATGAATCTAAGCAAGAATTTGAATATTTCGAAATGAAAAGATCTTTTAATTTTCTAGCTTAAATTTTGCATTTTTTAATACAATTCAGAAAACACGTTTGTTAAAAGGACAATATTTTTACATTGTAAAGCACACAGCTGTATAATCGTCACTAGAAGGTGTTTAAATCAATACATCATTTTTTAATAGAAACAAACTCCCCTGTTGTAAGTTGAATATTTGTTGTGCACCGATAGTTTATAGATTCTGCTTCGTTATTTATATATATA